ACAAAAGCAATACAGGAATGGCCAAGCCTCTTTCTGTCCCTCATGCTGTATCCAGGCTACCAGGTTAGGGCAGTGTGAAACCAATCAGTGAATTGATTTAGCAATCACAGCCTTAATCCTCGGATTGCACCATGATTCAGTCACTCTAGATTCAGCCACTTCTGAAAAAGCCCCACCGATGACTGCATGAGACTCTGGGGGTATATCTAGACACAGGCCGTAACAAACTGGCAAATACATGAGAAGATTGTCAGGGCCTAGGAGATAGCTCAGTGGCCTAAGTGCCAACCTGGCAAGCACAAGGTCCTAAGTTTGAACTGTGGAACAACAACAACAACAAAAAATTTCCAACATCACTTGTCATTTGAGAGATGCAAGTTAAAATAATGCTGAGATTCCATCTCACTCCAGAAGGAATGGCTACCATCAAGAAATCAGCAATAACAAATGCTGCCAGAACTGTGAGGCAAAGGAACTCTTTTGCACTGTTGGCATGCAGACTGGTGTAACCGCTGTGGAAATCAGCATGAAGAGTACTCAAAAAACTAAAACTAGAGGTTTCACTCCAGCTAGCTATCCCCCTTCTTGGTATCTCCCTGAAAGAATTAATAACATCATACCGCAGTGATATATGCATATCTATGTTTATCACAAACAGTTTGTATTTGCTAAATCTTAGAAACAACAAATCAAAAGATGAATGTTGTGGTGTTTTTATACAATGGAGTCTACATTTCTAGCTAAATGGATGCACCTTGAGACCACAGTCTTAAGTGAAATAAATCAAACACACATATTGAAATACTGTATTGTTTCTCTGGCGTGAGAAATGGAAAGTGTACATGAGGACCAAACTGTATAACAGATACCGGGAAACAGGAAAGAAATGTTCAAATGAAAAGGGAAGATGGGAATAGGGGAGGGTAAAAGGAAGAAAGAGACAAGGAAAAAAGGAAAGGAATGGAAACAAGGCTTTTGTAAATAAGGTGGGAGAACAGAGAAGGGGGAGACAAATGGGAAAAAAGAATTATGACATCATGTACAGGTACAATTTCCCTAGGATAAGTATTACTATGTAGAACTAAAATGTACCAATACAATTTTAGCCACCCCCTCAGAAGGATGGGCAACATTTGTATATTACTGTATCGTGCAGTCTTCTACCCACATTTCTTTTTTTATATGTATCAATTTTATTGAGAAAGAAGTAATGATACAGTTTCAAAACAGGTTAGTAGGACAGTTACAATAATTAATACACGGTATAATGTTGTCTTTGTAATATTCATAGTACAAGATGCAGACATGATATCTTGTCTAAACACTATTCAAAACTTTCTTCTCATTGAACTAAGAGAAAGTAGCTGTATATCTATGTTAACTATTTTTATACAAATATATATATTTTTCACTACAAAATAGACCTTCATTTATATCCCCCTTTTTTGTTTAGTTTTATCAGAGGTGGGTATTCCATTGCCATTCATATATTGTAGGTGCATGAATTCAGCAAAGTAATCCAATATAGTCCAGTAGTCTATAATAGTAGTGGGTTATCCACATGAACAGCAATGTCAGAAGTTGTTGACTTGAGCCTTTTACAGCTCAGCATATTAATATGGCTTTACTTGTTATACCTTGTTTTTATACTTTTCTGCTGGATGGTTAAGACCAAGATAAAGCAAGACCTATATAACAAAAAATGTAACTTTTGTATCTGACAGTCTACCCACATTTCAAAAGTGAACATAGTCTTGGAGAATCATTTTTGTCACCAAATAGGTTTTATATTTTTGAGATAAGGTTTCACCATGCAATTCAGGCTGTCCTTGAACTCACTTTGTAACCCACACTCAGAAAAAAGTGAGGGCAGCAGGTTTTTATTTGTGGGGCTGAGTAAAAGTCTGGTAATATCCATCTGCCTGAGGCATGGTTCCAAAAGATTATTTATTTTGCGGTATCAGGGATTGAACTCAGGACCCTGCACTTGCCAGGCAGGCGCTTATTCTACTGAGCTATCTCCCCGGCCCCCAGGTTATTTTTCTTGTGACACTTGGAGCACCAGGTGATCATCACCAACTAGAAGGGATTGAATTTTCATATCTGGCCTCTTTATCCTGCATAAAACATCCTGACCTAATGGGTCTGGGTGCTGAATGACTTCAGGTGCTTGGGCTTACTATTTGTGAAAAAGTGTCAGAATGGGGCAAGAAAACTGGGAGACAGAGAAGAAATCTTACCAGCTCCAAGGGGCAGCAGCCAAGTTAACCCTGCATTGTAGTGTTTTTTTGAGACAGGGTTTCACTCTGTAGTCCAGGCTGGCCTCAAACTACCAGTGATCCTCTTGTCTCAGCCTCACAAGTGCTGGGATTAGAGAGGTGTCACCATGCTGGATTTTGCAGCATAGCCTTTCTTTTTTTTTTCTTTTTGTACTGAGGAAATCAGGACCTTGTTCTTGCCAGGCGGGTGCTTACGCCACTGAGCTATCTCCTCAGCTGCAGTGTAGTCTTTTTTTTTTTAAAGTTTATTTATTTATTTGTGTGTGTGTGTGTGTGTGTGTGTGGCCAGTTCAGCCCACCAGGGGGTGGGGCTGGCTGGCATGTGGTGCTGGGGGATTGAACCGCGGTCTCTGTGCTTTGCTAAGCTTGTTCTAAGTAGGTGCTTTAGACCACTGAGCCATCTCACCAGCCCTGCAGTGTAGTCTTGAACAAACCTTGCTTGCTTTTCTTTTTCTTTTCCGAGACAGTCTGGCTATTTAGTTCAGGCTAGCCTTGAACTCCCTATAGTAGCCCAAACTGGCATCAAATTTTCCACAATCCTCCTGCCTCAGTCTCCAGAGCACTGAGATTACAAAATCACTATGCCCAGGGAACAAATAATTTTCAAATGATCAACATGTTTACTTCTAGAACTGAGCAGAATCTGACCCAAGTATTAAGACAGCAAAGGAAACACACAGTCTCAAGACAGAGATACCAAATCTTTCATCCCATTTTAGTCACCCATCAGACACCTGTGAAAGATCAGCCTTCAACTTTCTGGGACTTAATCCAGGGAACTGTTATCACACACGTCCAGGGAATGACCCACAGTAAATTACTGTGAAGCTGATCAGATATTACCCAGCTCTGCCATCTCCAACATTATTGACTTTAAGTTGAATAAGAGTAAGTTTTCCCCCCTTGGCAATATATATATACACACACATTTTTTTTTTAAATTTTATTTATTTATTTATGTGTGTGTGTGTGTGTGTGTGTGTGTATGGCCAGCTCAGCTCACCAGGGGGCGGGGCTGGCTGGCATGTGGTGCTGGGGGATTGAACCGTGGTCCCTGTGCTTTGCTAAGCTTGTTCTAAGTAGGTGCCTTAGACCACTGAGCCATCTCACCAGCCCCTATACACACACATTATATGTAATATATTACATATTTCCATTTTATGTATTTGGTACAGAGCTTCAACCGGTGATCCTCTTGTTTTCAGCCTCCCCAGCACTGGTATCACAGGTGTGTGCCACCACGCCCAGACTCAGTTGGTCACTGGGTCAGCACGCCCCAAGAGGCAGGGCCAGCTCGGCATGTGAGACCGGGTATCGAACCCTGGTCCTTGCGCTTGCCAAAGCAGGCACTTATTCTGTTGAGCTGTGTCGCCGACCCTAGCAAAATATTTTTTGGAAACATTCTGCTTCTGTGGTTTTATCAGGGTCTTCATGATGTTCCAAGGGCGCAAACAGCTGCTGATCCATACCACACATTGGGAGCAGGTTCCCCTAAAAACATTAATAAGTACAACAAAACAAAAACCTTTACTCATAACCCAGTGGAAGGGCTGGGAAGATAGCTCAGTGGAATAAGTGCCTGCCTGGCAAGCTCAAGGTCCTCAGTTCAATCCCTGGGCCTACGGGGGTAAAAAAAAAAAAAAAAAAAAAAATCAA